TACGTGCCCTTGTATGAACCTCCTTTCCCGAACATAACAGTTTAAAGATCACCTCGAATACGTGAAAAACACCAACTTGATATTGAGCATGACATCTTAGGAACAAACGTCAATTATTGCATCCCTCTTCCATGAGATGAGGCATTGATACTAAATTCGGCAGGCATCCCTATCCATTCACAATACTAAGTCCTACACAGAATAGAGTCCATAACTCAGGATTGGTTTTCATGAAAAACCTCAAAATTCTTCAAATACTATAGATATGATATACAAGGTCGCTAAAGTGCGACATGATATTCATTTCAGTAGAAAATCTCAATCCTGAGATATTTTGTGGCTAAACCTACATATAAAAGTACAAAAATGAAGAAATGATCATAAAATGAAAAACACCACAATTTCGACTCCCTAACAAAGTAGCCAAGTTGTCATAACCATGGTGACGTTGAGGATTCCAAAATCATTCGAATAAGTACAAAGTCAAAATTAATCAATTAGGGTTGGGATCAAAAGACAATGATAGAATCTTAGTACAAGAAATATACATGACAAGTCAGTGTGAGACACTCACCTTGTTGGTGTAGACTAATCATTTCAAACTTTCTTTACATGTCAATTTTTATGCCCTAGCTACGTTTAGGCATCAACTAGGTGATGGTAGGATGGGTGAGAAATAAAATTTTGGCGTGGAAGGGCATGAGAGGAAAGAGGAAACAAGCGGACTTAATACCACTAACCATTTCTGACTAGTGTGGGAAGAGTATAACAAAAGGGTTTTTGAAGCACTTGATAATGTGAATGGGTTTGACTTACTTAAAAATAGATAGTTCTAGATTCTTGATTTTTTTTAATGGTTCATCCTCTTTATTCAATTGAGAATTTAGTGGATCTTATTGATACTATAACTGATTTGTAAATATTTATACATGGTTGATACCCCCTGATACCAATATTATTATACTTTATACTTTATATTTCAAGAAAAAATATTTATGCCCTCGCTAATATACATGTATTCTGCTGTCATTTATTCATTCAAAATTTAAATTAACAAAAAGCTAATTATAGTTGACATCATTGAACTCAAAAAAAAGAACATATCAAACACATAGAAAGTTGAAGCGAGAATCCAATCAAAAATAAAAATAAATAAAAGTATAAAAAAAAAAAATAAAAATAAAATAAAATAAAAAATAAAGAATGATCACTTTTTGTCATAAGATAATTATGGGTTTTCTTAACAGTGAAAAAAAAAAT